CATGAGTCATGTAAAAACATGTTCATTTACATGTAAACGCCTCATGATTCATGTAAAAACATGTACATTTAAACGCCTCATGAATCATATAAAAACATGTTCATTTACATTTAAACGCCTCATAAATCATGTAAAAACATGTACATTTACATTTAAACGTCTCATGAGTCATGTAAAAACATGTTTATTTAAACGCCTCATAAATCATGTAAAAACATGTTCATTTACATGTAAACGCCTCATAAATCATATAAAAACATGTACATTTGCATGTAAACGCCTCATAAATCATATAAAAACATGTACATTTGCATGTAAAGTGTACAAGTTCTTATCTTTGAGTGATTTTTAGTTCGACTCCTGCGTGAGAATTTCTCCAAACTGAAGCTGCTCAGATTTCAGTTTCCTGCACATCAGAAACTGCCCTTGAACGCATCCCGGACAGTTTGTTGTTGCGCGTCATGAAAAGCTCCAGATGTTAGAAACAGATTTGACTGATGTTTATTGTCCGTGAGGTCAGATCTGATCTGGATGTTGTTTCTTTAACAGAAGAATGTTTGAAATGTTCTTCTATTCAAATCAAGTTTAAACTCCTTCAGTAAAAGAAAACAGGCAGGACAGGATGTGATTTATGTATTTTTGTTTAAATCCACCTGAAGTGTTCCGTGTGTGTGTTTCAACTGAACCATCACAAACAGTTTCACATTAAAAAAACACTTTCTCTCACCAGAGACTGAACGTTGATGCGAACTCAACAAAAGGTTAGTTCTGCCCACAGGAAACATTTTCTAGTCTAAACAAAGTAAATTTAGTTTCAGAAACAGCAGCAAACAAATGTCTTACATGAGATTAAACATTTAAATTTCCTTCAACGAGTTCTGTTCTGAGCTGCTGTTAGCTCAACTTCATCAGGAGAATATCAAAGTGTCCAAAGTGCTGCAGGTAAGACGCTGACTCATCATTCCTACACATGCTGGTTTAAACAAGAAGGATCTCTTTAATATCCAAACTGCTTCTTGTTTTCTTCCAGTTTCTACAAACAGGTTTAATAACTTGAAACTGATATGTTTAATAAAGATGGAACTTTCCTGATGAGGGAACAAACTTGCTGAGCTTTATTAAAGCTATAAAACAAGAAGAACAGATCTATGATCAAAGCTGCTCTCACACAGCGGAGCTGCTCTTTTATTTACGGCTGTGATGTTGCATCGTTTGATCTGAAGGTTCTGCAGCAGGATCTGGTCGTCCTGACGGTTCTGCCGTTAACGTTTGGACCCAACTCATCGTGTTCTCATGAGGCTGTTTATTTTGGAAGCTGACGATTCTTTAAAGCTCCTCGTTGGACGAACACAAGCAGCGTTTTGTTTAAATTTAAAAGCAGAAACTGAAGAAAAGTTTTTCTTTAAATTCTTCACTAAGACTTTGTTTCTTTGACCTTTTTGCCCTTCGGACCCTAAAACCACCCGTCAGTCGCCCGGTTCAGGTCCGCGTCTCGTGTCTAACGAAGCGTTTCTCTGAGCTGTTACACGGACGTGTCGGAAAGACTCGCACAGCGGCTGAACTTGAGCGCTTCGATGCGGCGTTTGAACGTTTGGTTTGAAAGATTTCTGAGAGCCGTTTCTCACCGTCCTCCTCCGTCTGTTTGACGATCTCCTCGCTCTCCTTGCTGCCTTCCGGGTTGGCCAGGACGAGTCGCAGCCGGACGGTGACGAAGGGCCGCAGCCCCCTCAGAGTGTAGTGGGACGACGTTTGGATCAGCTCTTCTGCTGCAAACTCCTGCTGGTTGAACACGTACTGGTACTGCACCTGGAACAAACAAGACATGTACTCCAGTACACGCCGTGTGGGACGCCTTTAACTACTTACTGTAGTTACTGGAGTACTTTAACTGTTTAACATCACCTCTGTGGTACAGGAAATGGCATCCAGGCCAGTTCAAATAAACACAAACATCTCTGGAATTGCAACATGTTTAATATCTGATGAACTGACCTGCTGCGTTTGATAAGGTTGATTAGCTGTGGCGGCCATCTTGAACAAAGCTCCAAAAGGTGATCAGTTTAAATGAACACACAACGGTTAATTTCTGAGAGTCTCGTTGCAATCTGCCCAGTGGTTCATGAGATATTTTGCTAACAGTGTTCTGTCAAATGCTTGTATATCGTGTGGAGCTCAGAGTGTGTGTTAGGAAGGACGCTCAGCTACTGCCGCATCAAACGCAGCTCAGTATTTGTCAAACTGGGAGACGGACTTTTGTTTTCTGAACTGGAGTCAAACACTTTGATTAGCTGTGGCAGCCATCTTGGATCAGGTAATCAGCTGATCAATAATTGCCTTCACCTTTTATATTAAAGTCCTTCCAGTTGTTTATAGACGTGGCTACATGATCACCCGCCTTTTTTTTATTCATGCAGCCTTTATTTCTACGGGTTAGTGTCATGGAGGGCTCTTTTACAACAGAGACCTGTTCACACCTGTTCACACCGTGCCAGGTGATATTTAAGCACCGAAACAGGTCAAACAATTAAGAATTTAATTAAAGCAACATGTATATTTAGGAGTTTATGTAACGTTCTTTTGTTAAATGTGTCACGTGTTAGAAACTGTTCGTACCGTCAGATTGTAGCTGTGGCAGCGAGTGACGGCGTAACCAAACGTCTCCCACTGAACCGTCAGCTGGCGGGCTCGGACGTCCACCACGTTCACGTTCTGGGGCCCGTGGACCGGATCTGATGACAGACAGACAGATTACTCACTCGTCAGTCGACCCAGAAGAGGACAAACAGCAACACAGATCTGTTTAATCTGATTATCCTCCTAAACAAGCAGCTAATCTCTGAGCAGCAGATAAACTGTTGGATTAAATGTCTGAAAATGAAGCAACAGATTGCTGTAAGTTCCTCTAATTCTCTACCTTCTATCTGAAATATTGACAGAGTCGTCTGAACAGTGCAGTAAAACTAAAAGAGCTACTTACAGTTAGAGCAGATTAAACTGACCAACTAATTATTTGACTCCTGGATTATTTCAACGATTGCTGGAGTCCATTCAGCTCACATTGACAAACAAACAAACAAAAAAAGAAACAATCAGCAAAGGCTGAAGAAGGAGCTGAGGAGAGCAGGAGGGATTCAATCATGCGCAGGTGTGACAAACAGGAAGCAGGACAAGAACTACAAAATAAAACAGGAAGTCAAACATCATCAACATGAACGGACACAAACTGAACCTGAAGACTTTTGATGAAAATCCAAGAAATCGATCACCAAAAAAAAACCAACAACAACTTCCAGTTATCACTTTTTTAAACAAAAGACCCAGTTTTTATGATTATTAAACAGAAATGAGTGGAAAGCTCCTGCAGTACCTAAAAACTCCTGCGTTGTTTTAATCTGACAGCGTTGATTATTCTTCATATTTTGATGTTTCTTAACTTATTTAAAAATCAATAATCAACTAAATAATCTAAAGCCTCTCCATGACTCTCTCTGAAGCTAAAGAATATTGTTTTATTACATTAAAAGATTGTTCCAGCGAGCTCTTTACAGACGCTCGTGATCCAGATCTGGAACAAATGAGACCAGATTAGACGGGAGGATCCAGATTAACCCTGCAGGCCGTCGTAGACTCACGCTGGGGTTTGAGTACGAATCTTCCCTGCAGGTCAGAATCGTACCAAATGACGGCGGACGTCTCATTTACTGAAACATTTAACGTCTCCTCATGACGTCGCAGCTTTTAAACTCTGGAAGAACTTTACATAAACACATAAAACTTTACTGGATTTAGATTTTTGTTTCAGATTAATAATCCCTGACCGATCACTGAGGCTGACATCAGAGCTACATGTGTGTTTGTTTGGGGGGGGGGGGGGGGGGGGGTTAAACTGTGCATGTTTTTAGACATAAAGCACATCTGTAGTCATATTTCTATGACTCAAAGCCATTTTACAGAATAAATCCCGTTCATCAATACTTTTTACAGGTAACTGTCAAGATGACCTGTTTCCAAGTAGTTTCTGTTCATTTTCAGTTTGACATTTAAACATTTAAACTGAATTCATTTAAATAAAAATCATCTTAACTTTGTAAACCACTGTTTGATCAGTTTGTATGGGGGACGAATCAAGTCTAATGAAGGTTTGTGTTTTTCCTCTGACTGTCTGCGCAGAGGAAACATTTGGTGCAGGAAGCTCCAACGAGACATAAAAACTGAGGCGGATCATAATTTCAGAGTTAAAACTTCTCCAGAGAACAAACAAGAAGAAACCTGTAATTATGCACGCTTATGCAGATCAACGTGGCGTTCCCGTAATAAACACGCTCTCTGTAATTCCTCAATTACAGAGATGTAATCACTCACCACTGAGCCGCCGAGGGAGTGAAACAACCCGTTTTCCTCCATAACTGAGATACACCCGAGTCCTCCTGGTGGTGGAGACTTTCCTCCAAACAAAGACCTAATCTGGAGCCGCCAAGTCAGATTTATGATCAATTACTGATGGAATTAAAGGTCAGACACACAAACAGGAGATCCACTCCTCTTCAACTAACCCAAAACTTAATCCAGGCATCTTTCAGTTGAAGAAAACTAATCTGGATAATTCCAAGATCAGCTTCCCATAATCACACTGCTAATTTGTGTTTGGCAGACTGAACAGAAAAGATGAGATTAGTAAATTATCAGCTTTAATTTGCAGATTCTCAGGACCACGTCTGGAAATGTTTGTTGACAGGACCAAAACCGAAGGAACAAACTTGTAGATGACTGAAGCGTGACGAGGATTAAAAAGCAGGAGAGGTCGTTTAATTATAACGTTGTTTACGTCATAACTTGATGATGATGATGAAGATGATGATGTCACTCCCCAAGCTGACCTGGGTCATGACAAATACCAGATTCCCCACATCGTTAATTTAATTTACAACCTTCTGTCGTTTGTTCCTCTACGTCTAGTTATTAATCTGCATCTTTATGTATTTATTTACTTACTTATATATGTACATATGTTTATGAACCCCTTACACGTAAAGCAAAGTTGTCCTTTTTCATGTGTCCAAACCAGCAGCCACAGGCTAAAACAAGCTAAACAGTAACTAAAAGCTAAAAAGGAAGGATATTAAAAAGTTTTAAAGGATGCAACACTTGTCAAGGTTTGAAGAGTTATCAGTGCACAATAAGAAAATTACATAAATAAAGTTAAAAAGTTTAAAAAGTACAAATGTTCCAAAGACTAAAAGTCATCGTGAACCAGTTGAGTCCACAAAACCAGAGCAGAACCTAGAAACAGAACAGAGTGAATGCTGACTCAGCACTATTATAAAACAATGGAATCAATGCTGGACGATAAAAGTCTGAAGTATTGATGGTCAAGGAGATTTAAGGTTGTAGCTGCTGTTTGGAGGAGGACGCCGTGTCGGGTGACAGATGAGAAAAATATGTATGAAGGTGGAAGAACAATCGTGTTCCTCTGCAGGGACCCCGTCCCACCGGCCGCTTCTACCCTCATTAATCACGAGCGGTCAAGGGTTGGCATGTTAGCTATCGCACGCTGTGAAAGGGCAGCGTGGACGGCCCAGCTGGTGCACAGTGTGACCATGCCCGACAGCGAGGCGTGCTACAGACAGATATGACACACCCTTAACTGCAGGGGACCGCGGGAGTGATTCCCTGATCGATGAAGGTCGACAAAGTCTCAAAACGGTTCCGGTGCTGGTGATTTTTTTAGCTGCAAGTATTTTGGATCGCCTCCGAGACACTGATGATTCACCGACTGTTTGATGGTCAAACCAAGACAGGCAGGAGAAGTAATGGAGACAAACCAGCAGCTGAACGGAGGAGTGATTATTCTTCCTAACTCAACACAATAAAAACACTCAGTCAGCAGTAAAGGAAGTCTAACAGGCTCTTCCTGCTGATGGAGAGGACTCCATCTTGTTGGGATTACATCATCCACTGATTTCAACTGAACCTATAATTATCACGGCCCACCCCCTTGAAAGGTGGGCGATCATGAAGCTGCCTTTGTGCCGGTTTGTGTTTGTTTGTCTGTTAGCGAAATATCTCATAAAGCGGGTTTTACATAAACTTCCAGAAAGTAATCATTAGATGCACGTCTACAAATAATCTGTTGAGTCAACCCAATTTAAAGTAGCTGCCGTGGTTAAGAGACACAAGCAACAGGAAAAATAAATTTGGTGTGTTGGTAGCTGAGAGTCGTCTTTAGTTCAAGCTTGAACAGAGCAGGTACAAGATGTCTGTGGCGGCTGGTGATTTGCATTCAAGGAGCGCTGGTCGATGATGTTTAACCTGTGTGGAACGCTGGGGGGCGATGAAGCGAAATCCTTAAATCTGTCTAACAAAAACTAAACGTGTCATAACTGAAGACATTTAGTCCATGTCCACATAAAAACGTAGTCTTTTCAAAATCGATTACTCGATTACTGCATCACGCTCCTGTTTGGAATCAGTCAGTCCTCCATTGCTCGTCTACAACTGGTCCAACATGCTGCAGCCCAATCTTTAACTGGTACAGGCTATAGAGAGCACATCACACCAGTTTTGGCCTCCCTGCACTGGCTTCCCATTCGCCTTCAGATCCAGTTCAAAATCCTCATGTATGTTTTTAAATTTTAACCTGTATAAATAAAGGTTGATTGATAAATCACTGAACAGTTCTGCCCCATCCTCTCTCACTGACCTTCTGCAGCCATATGTCCCACCTCGCTCTCTGAGGTCAGCAGACCAGATGCTTCTCTCAGTTCCAGAAACCTGTCGTAAGCTCAGAGGTGACAGGGCTTTCTCTGCTGCAGGTCCAAGACTGTGGAATGAGTTGCCACTGCATGTCAGGCAGGCTCCCACACTCACAGTCTTTAAGTTTCGCCTGAAAACCCACTTTTATTCCCTTGTCTTTGACACGGTGTGATTTGTTTTGATCCTGTCTGTAGTCTACAGTGATGGCCTTTTAGTTATTATCCGCTGCTATTTGTATCTATATTTTTATTTTTTGTTTTCCTGTCCGCTGTGCTTGTTTGTTTCTATTGTACAGCACATTGGTTGGCCTTGTTGCTGTTTTAAGTGCTCTATAAATAAATTGGTATGGTAAAATGATACTCTGGTAATGACAGAACTGTTTCTAGAAATGTCTTCATCCACACAGAGACAGAAAATGGCCCAACACTGTGTAGTAACTCCACCAGGCCTGTATGTGGTGCTGTAACGGGGCCACGGCAATCCACCAAAAACGGGAAACAAGGCTTGGAGTGCAGCAGCTAGATGAACATTATCTCGGGTTGTAGGTCAAAAGGCGAAGCTTTCAATTTGCCAGTCGATCTACGTTCCTACCGTCATCTATGGTCACGAGCTTTGGGTTGTGACCGAAAGAACGAGATCTCGGATACAAACGGCCAAAATGAGTTTTCTCCGCAGGGTGTCTGGGCTCTCCCTTAGAGTTAGGGTGAGAAGCTCGATCATCCGGGAGGGACTCAGAGTAGAGCCGCTGCTTCTCCACGTCGAGAGGAGCCAGTTGATGTGGCTCGGGCATCTGGTTAGGATGTCTCCTGGACGCCTCACTGGTGAGGTGTTCCAGGCACGTCCCACCGAGAGGAGACCCAGAGGAAGACCCAGGGCACGCTGGAGGGACTATGTTTCTCGGCTGGCCTGGGAACGCCTTGGGATTCCCCCGGAGGAGCTGAACCAAGTGGCTGGGGAGAGGGAAGTCTGGGCCTCC